TAAGTTACAAGTTAAGATCACTGCCACCACGGCCGGTAAGAAGCCCGAAGCTACCGGCTGTCCCCGAGTCGTAGCTGAAGTTCAGAAAGAAACAGGTCAGCAAACGTGCTACCCTGATCAAGCGTAAACTAAAGCGCTCTGCCGTGATTGCACTCCGCAAACGTGAAAACTTGGTGCATGCTGAGAAATATCGAGCAAAATATCCGTGATGGATGCCGTGAGAATAAGTTGCGCCGTCTGGCAAAGAAACGCGGCTCATTCTACTTGCCTGCTGAAGACAAATTGGCTTTTGTGATCTGTATCCGCGGTATCAACAAAATTGCACCAAAAGTGCGTAAAGTTTTACTGTTGTTCCGTTTTCGCCGCATTAACGACGGTTTGTTCATCAAATTGAACCATTAATATGCTACGCATTGCCGAACCCTATATCACATGGGGTTATCCAAATCTTAAATCAGTTCGTGAATTGATCTACAAACGTGGAATTGTCAAGCACAACCATCAACGTGTCCCAATCTCTGACAACTTTGTAATCGAACGCAAATTGCGCAAAGCGCACGATATTCAGTGCGTTGATTATTTGGCGCACGAAATATTGACTGTTGGATCCCACTTCAAGTAAGCTTCCAACTTCCTGTGGCCATTCAAGCTCAACACCAACCGGTGGCTGGCGCAAGAATGCTAATCACTTCGTTGAGGTTGGTGATTTCGGTAACCGTGAAGATAAGATCAACAAACTGCTGCGCAAGATGGTTTAAAGAAATGTTTGGTGTACAAGGTGAAGTATTTTTATTTCAAAAATATATCTACCCTGTAGTAGATGGGAGTGACTACAGGACTGCTGAATCAGTAGCTACCTGATAAACACCGTCAATTACCGACCGACGACTTGCAGTGTATTTCATCGATTACTTTTACAAGGCAATGCCCTAGGCGGTAGTCACCATCGGCTCTCTCTGCACTACCGGGAGTTACTAAAGTAATCACTTGCGTGATTTATGGGCGCCCTCTGTCGAAGTTTTTCGCTATTCTCCTTACGACTAGTTCGACTCTGCATTACCATGTGCACTACCACGGGTTAATAGAGTAGCTACTTACCTAGGAGTCGGTGCAGTAGCGGTTCAAATGTAGCGATTGACTCCAGCAGTACTGGAGGGTATCTATCTATCTTCTATACTATAATAAAACTGTAAATTGTTTGTCTGTTTGTATGTTTGAACTCACTAATCTCCGGAACTACTGGGGCTTTAACTGGTGTATAGAGAGTGGCCTCGGACGTAACTTGGGGTATAAAAAAATGGGATCTGATAGGGGGGCGTGGCACCTCCCATAGGCGCGACATTTTTAATCAGCTATAACTTCGAAACCGTAAGTCACATGACTTTGAAATTTGGTGTGTTCACATACATAAAAAAAAGAGGCGTGGCACTTCCTATGGGTGTGAAATTTTTAATCAGCCATAACTTCGAAATCATACGTCACATAAATGAAATTTGGTATGAAGACATATCCTGGGTAGGCGCTTATAGTAAGGTATATATGAATGAGTTTGTATAAGGGGCACTGGCACCTCCCATAGGAGTGAAACTTTTAATCTGCAATAACTTCGGAACCGTAAGTCACACGACTTTTAAATTTGGTGTGAAGGCAGATCTATGATAGTCGTTTACAGTAAAGTATCCATATATATATAAAAAGTTTGTAAAAGGAGGCGTGGAACATCTTACAGACGTAAAATTTTAATCACCTATAACTTAGGAACGATAAGTCACATGACTTCGAAATATAGTGTGAAGACATAAATAAAGTAGGCGCTTATAGCGATGTAAATATTAGTGAGTTTGCAAAAGGTACCACGGCACATTCCATAGCCGTACCTTTCATTTAAATTTAAAAGCACAGTATATACAGTAATAAACCTTTTTGAGTACTCCTCGGGGGTAAAATCTGATCAGGGTTGATAATGAGAAGGAGCATGAAATTTGTCGATTCAGAGTTGTATACAAAATTACTGTGGTATGAAAGGGAGCAACAACCGTGCTATGGCAGAGTGGCACATGACATGACTGTATAATAGTGACCGAAATTAATTACAGAAGTGTAAAAAATTACAAATTATTCTCTATTACTATGGATACTAATACAGATCATCATAGTTTGGTGTTTAACTGGTTATATTACACCGTAAATAATAATGAACTGTTAAATATTGACAACGCTAGTACCGAAACCAAATTTACGTAAAAGTTGCGTTCCAGATGCTTCACGATTTGCAGGTTTTACAGGATTTGCAGGAAAAGCTGTTTTCTCTTAGTGAATTTCATACAGAATACAGCTTGTAGTCAGAGGCAGTGGCATGTAAGACTCATTTAAATCTATTCATCATGTTGGAGCAGCTCCGGGTAATGGGGCTGAGTTATGACCACTCTAGCCAACGGAGTCTCCAAGCAAACGCATGTCCTGAATTTATACGGTAGCAAATCATAGCAATTACTATTGTATGTATTTATGATTCATATTTGTGACATTCTATACTTTGATCAAATCGATATTAAGTATTTCTGAGGAGCTCCGGGTAATGGTCGCTCAACCTTGGGTGTGCTTAATGAGCTGTCTTGACAGATGCGCTGGCAGGAATTGGAGTCTCTATAACTATACAAAACACTTTTTTTTTGTTTTTTGAATAAAAACTTAAATATATTCGGAGTTTTAGAATTGTACTTGATAAATTCACAAAATAACAAAAAATTCAGGTTTTTTCATAAAAATATAATCTTACAATTGATATTTTTTTAATTTTAAGTTTACATTTAAGAAAAATCCATTCAGTACAATAACTAGGATTTGAGTTTTTTCAGTTTATAGAAACACAAGCGTTAATTCTGTTCTCCACTATTGATATTCTTCTTAATTAGGCATTGATGTTACACTTCACCTACATTTTGTCCATAAATAACACATAATTACATATATTTTATCCTCGAAAAGAACTTTTTGTAATCATGAGGCGAAACTCTCCACAGTTAGTGTTGCCGTGCGCGCAAAACGAAAATGCTGCACACAACCCAAAAGTACTCCTCGGGGACCAATTGGTAAAAAACTTCGAAAAGGTTTATTACTGCACATACTATGTTTAAAAGTCCTCAATATTCCCTGAGACTTCCCTTTGACATGTGCTTATATGGAGAATGCTTGCGAGTGGGATGTCCGAATAGTATTTATGCTTCTAACCGCACAAAAATTAAAGTATTGTTCAAAAGGAGGCCTTAAATTATATAAGAACAAGTAAGAGCAGCNCGAAATTTATCGGTTTTAGCTGTCCAAATAAATTAGTTTTGCATTGAAACCCCATATCTGAACAATCAGTTATATGGAGACAATATATAAGTTACAGTGACCCGATCTTTGTTAATTTTACTGTAGACTGTCTGTCGATAATGAGTAAAAATAGTGCGAAATATCATGTTTCTAGCTGCATATATTTAGAAATTATAACAAAGATTCTCATATCTGAACAATCAGTTGTATGGGAGCTATATGTAAAAAAGACCCGATCTTTGTTATTTTCACTGTAAGAATTCTGTTGATAATCGTTGGAAGTATTGCAAAATTTCATGCTCCTAGCTGCATAAATCGAGGAGTCATAACGAAAATTCTCATAACTGAACAATCAGTTGAATGGGAGATATATGTTATAGTGACCCGATCTTTGTTATTTTCACTGTAAATATTCTGTTAATAATGAGTAAAAACGGTGAGAATTTTCATGTTCCTAGCTGCATAAATGGAGAAGTTATGGCAAAAAATCTCATATCTGAACAATCAGTTGTATGGAGGCTATAGGTTATAGTGACCCGATCTTCGCCATTTTCTCTGATAGTATTCTTCTGATAATGAGTGACAACAGTTCACAATTTCATGTTACTAGCTACTTAAATGGAGGAGTTATAACGAAAAATCTTATATCTGAACAATCAGTAGTACGGGAGCTATAGGTTATAGTGACCCGATCTTTGTAATTTTCACTCTAAGTTCTCTGTTGATAATGGGTGGAAGTATTGCAAAATTTCATGTTCTTAGCTGCATAAAAGGAAAACTCAAGTAGCACACTGGTGTATATTTCTGAATTTTGGTACATATGTGTTAAGATTAAAAAAAATAATATTTTGGTGTATTTGTCATCCCGCCAGTACTTCTTCTCAAATCAAAATTCTGCCTTTAACGTTTTGGTACTATTGATTCATTGAGATTAGTACGAAAACTGCACCAGCTCCTAAAATGCACCACTCTTTTAATTTGGTTCACAAATTACTCAACGTTGACAAATGTGATTAAGCATTCGGCGATATGCCGATTTTAATACCAGTCCCTTCTCATCTCGCCATTTAAATATTTATTCCGCAGCCATTGAAATGGAGATACTGAAGGAATATTCCGCAGATGATATAAAATGTAAACTTGTTTGTTTACATCCATATGATCCGGAATGTGGGCAGAATAACCAGTTTTTTAATGCTAAAAAAGGCGTATTCTTTCCTTTAATTCACACTTTGTAACCCCGTATACATTTTATTACTTCATTCAAATAAAAAAAAACAACACTTAAGTTAAAAAAATTCATTTTATTATCTCCGTTTTTATACATACATATGTATTTTGTTAGACACTGAACTGTATCTATTTTAATGGAAAATTCTTAATGATAAATACATAAATAAACAGGGTAGGGTTTAGTATACATATCGTCATTTTAAGTACAAAACCTAAGAATGAAAACAAACAAAGAAGACGAAAAATGCGTGGAGGTTGAGTGCGATTATATTGGCATTTATCATCAAATATAATAACTGAAACTGAATAAAAATGAAAGTGTTTTGCAACCACGTAGCATCAGCACAGTTCGATTTTTTCTGACCACAAAAGTGCACCCACTTTCCACGCAAATTTACGCCTCTTTGCAACCCAAACCAACGCACAAACTTGTTCAAATCACAAAGCACTTCATTTATATCATATATTCGTAATAAATCAAAATTTATAGTTTAAATCGCTGCAGAAAACACATCAAGTCGCTAAAAAATCACTATGAAGAGGTTGAAGACGATGTCAACAAAACCAAAAAACATCAAAAACGCTACGAAAACTTTTTCCCGAAAATCGCCACGTATGCTGCTGACTCTGCCTATAAGCTGGATATCTGAAAAATAAGAAAAAATAGCAATTATCTCTTGATAATATAATAAGAATGTTTGTTTACAAAATTACCTCTTTCCGCAATTCCTGATAATTTCTGTGGGCAATTGACAATTGTCCAAAGAATTCACCAAAAAATGAATATTGAATACACCACACAGGAGCTTTGTTTCTTTACAGATATTTATCACTAGCAAGGCGAATTTGCATAAGATAGTGTTATACCATGTTCGGACCGACAACGAAAATACTTTGAAAACGAGTTTTGGGATTGTGTGCTGTAAGCTGTTCGCACCGGCTGGAGTTTTCGTTGACAATTCTTTCATCCTTTGTTTACAGTTTTGCTAAGAAAAAACAAAACCAAAATATTTTTCTTTCATTTTCTTATTATTAGGAACCTTTGTCGTTTATTTATATTTTAATTTGGCCAGCCAATTGGCAATAAATCCCAACTAGCATATTAGAGATGATAAAATATGACTTACACTTCGATAAATATATCTAAAAAACAAGTGAAGACACCGATTGAAATGAGTGGAACGAGAGTTTTCAAGTAGTTTTCAGTGAAAACTGGTTTTCGTTTGACAGATTTTACAAGGTTTTAGGTCGAAAACCAGTCTTAGCAACGAAAACAAGTTTTCGATGGCGGTCTGAACATGGTATTAGCCGTAAAGAATAATAGAATAAATTTATCGTGTAAAAATAAACAAAGCCGAAGAGAAGGATGAAAGAAAATGTCAGAAGAGTCAATTGTATTAATACTTCATTTTTCTATAGGAAATGTGTTTTAATTGCTTTAAATTGTGAAAATATGATTTGTAATAATTAATAAAGAAAATCTGGAAACTGTGGAAAAGTGTGATTTTAGTGAAAATAGTCGTGAATTTCAGGCATAAGTGCAGAATACGGCCCGTTAAGCTAGCAAGAAACGAAGAAGTGGACGTTGTTCACCCTTTTTTTCTAATTCTAATGGTATACAATTTTTTTGGTGCAAACTTATACTGCAGGTGCTATGGAGTGGGAAAGGGGGAATTTTCTTTTTATTTGATTTTTGTAAACAGAATAAAAATTATAACCACATAACCTGATAACTAGGCAAGTGAGAACAACCACTAAATTTTGTAATTTTTCCCGTTCGTCTTCCTGATACTTATCTGCTACAAAAGTAAAGAAACAAAGCTAGTGTGTGTGTACTTAATACACCACCAGTTTGAATATGAGCCAGTGTTGCCATGGACAAATTTTGTTTCCTACCAAAACTTCCTACCAAACTCAACCAAAACCTACCAAAATGGTATTTAAGTTTTTAATATATTTTTAATGCCGACATAACATTTAGAAAAACCAAAATACAGCTAGTACAATAAAAACAAATTAACTACGTATAGACATTCACCTACCAAAATCCAATATAGCCTACCAACCTACTAAATGGAAAAAACCTACCAGTTTTGGTAGGAAAAGCTCATATTTGGCAACACTGATATGAGCTATTAAACATTCCACAAGTAGTGTTGCCATCAGCCTTACCATTTTGGTCAAATTGGTAGTTTTATTTTCCTTCGGTAGACAAAATTGTTTAGGGGTCTTCTGTATTGACTGAGTTCAGACACGGAACTGGTTACTTGTAGGATTGCATTGTACTGTTGTAGCGTAGTGTTCGTTTGTAAAAATTAAAAAAAAAAAATTGTCGATTAGCGATTATAAAAAGTTGCTGATGTTGAAAAGCTCTAATGTGTACTAAATGCTATATGCATCTATTGCATTTTCTTTTACTTTTTAGACATAAGATAATTGATATAAATTGAATTAACCTCAAAGATTAAATTTTTACATAAAGCAAATATGAAACGAAATAAAATATCATGTTCGGATGATACAAAAATTGGTTGTTTGGAAACTGATTTGGTAGGATTTTTGGAACGTAAAAATAACTGCAGTGGCAACAATTGAATGGTGTAAATTGTGAATATTTCTACGTCTAAGGCAAAATAAATATACCGTTCTTTTGCCTTGGTAAATATTTTGTACCTAACTCAAGAATCAGTGTAAGTTTTCGACGACGACCATATTTTCAAAGTATTTTGAAGGTAAAGCTATGTTTACAACCTAGAGTAATGGCGTTACGCGATGCGATGGATATCGCTCGATCAAAATTAGGCGTGTATTATTTGACGAGAAATTTAAGCTATTAGCTTATTTTGTATGGAAGTCGTAGCCAATATAGTGACTCCTTCGCCAGCATAATCGCTATCGATTAAAAAGCAGAAAGTGTTTAAAGTGTAGCAAAATTATACACGATTAAATATTAGGTTTTTTCCACACGGGCCTGCGGCTACCCGCGGGTGCCCAAACTGTCCACAAAGCTTTCCTCACGCTAGAAAAATGAGTAATAGAGAGCGCATACCTTCCACTTTTGGATCGTAAATGTCTTCTTCTTCGTGCCCGAAACAGCCCGGACTTTCTTTCTTGGCAGAAATGTGCAAGAAGTCAATTTCAAATAACAGCTGTTGTTTGTTTACATCCGATAGCAAATTTTGTAAAATACAGAAATGGAAAATAGCACAAAAGGTTCAGAAATGTAGGTATTTGCTAATTTTATTAGCTACATATATAAGATAAATAAACATAAAATCATTGTTTACAACTGATTTCTTGATTCCGGGCACGAAAAGTGGTTTTTTGCGTTCCTCAAGCTCTGGGCACTTTTAGCACGGGTTGACACATTTTTGACACTTGTGCCCGGAAAGCGTATGGAACAAACCTATTTATAATAGGGAAGTTCACGGTTTTAGGTGTAAAGTTGGCAAATGCTATTCATCGTGAACTGCCCTATTATAACTAGTTAATCGTGTATGATTTTGCTAAACTTAAAACACTTAGGGAGACTTTTTATTTGTTTCTATAACCTTTTGACAATTCATGCTGAAACCTAAGCATATTGTATTGTATGTAATAGCAGTAGAAGAGCTGTTTTGATTTATTATGTACACATGTACATATATGTATGTATGTATGTATGTATGGCTTTAAATATGAGAAAAGCTATTCACTTTACAAAAGGCATATTTTTCATTTGCTTTCACAGCGATAAACACGAACGACTGTGTAAATGATGGCTAGTAGCGATTTTTATGTATTCTCGTTACGCTAATACGCTAGGTTGTAAACTTAGCCTAATCCTGAAACTCGGCTGGCCGCCATATTAAAGCTGTATGACTACTATTTAGGTAATTTAACAATTTCATTATGTACATTGGCTCAACTATGCCACTTTATGGATATTTTCGACCCTGTTTTAAACAGCGCATCTCTTAGAAAATTAAAAATGGCCAAAAAATCACTACTTTCAAAATATAACTTTTTCCAGATTTATTTAAAATCTTCAAATCCTCATAAATTTTGAGGCGCTCGATTTTTAGAGGGAGTAGGACCGAAATTCACTCGACAGAATGTACCTCGTTTTTAAATTAGGAACTCACATTCATATATATTCGCGATTTTCATGTCTGCATATTATGAATACTGAGATTTATAAAAATAATTCTAAGTTGTGCAGATTAAAAAAGAGCTTCGGTGTAAATTTTATGTCTGAGTTAATTTTAAATTTGATTATTAGTAAATTATATTCCTCGAATCATTTCGTACTCTTCACACTCATGGGAATATATTTACGCTAGAATATGATGTAAATGATTTACCATTATGGTGTATGATTTGAGCCAATTATGAGTACGTATTTTACACCAACGGAGTTTATTTTATGTTCTAGAAACAAGAAAACTTGTATACCACTGGCATAATATATATACCGAAAATCAGTAAAAAAAAATTACGGTAGGTGTAAATAATACACGAAAAAGCGGTATAACCTTTACACTGAATCGAAATAAACTGTTCAAAAACTGCGCCTAGAAATGGCATATTTTTTATATTGAAAATGTATATCACGCCGATGCAAAAAATACACAAAATATTTTGGTGCATTTTTGACTTTTGTGCTACTTGAGAATTTGTAACGAAAAATCTCATATCTGAACAATCAGTTGTATGGGAGCTATATGTTGTAGTGGTCCGATTCTTCCGGTTCCGACAAATGATTAATACATTATAAAAATACACCCACCTACCAAATTTCATCTGGATATCTCGAAAACTGAGAGACTAGATTGCATACAAACCCTGTGGTACATACCTTTGGCTGTAGCTGACTTTGCAGAGGTGCTCGCTGTTATTGGTTAGATTCCAGTAGGCCCCAAGATGTTAATATGTTAACACAAAGCTTTGTTTTGTATTACCAAACTATGAAATAGCATCTGCGAAGCACAGAATAGAAGCGTATTTGAACGAAAAAGCCGCCGAACACATATCTATGTAAAGTAAACAAGCCCACCGCTGCATCCCTTATTCGATAGTTCCGAAATAGTTCTAAATTCGACAAATAGGATCTAGTTCGTTCTGCATCCCTTTTTCTATAGTTCCGAACCATTTCTAAATTCGTCACTTTAGATATAGATTTCTAGTGAAAAAAACTGAAAAAATTAGTTTCTTAAAAGTACCACTTTTCGCCGATTTTGGACTGGTGGCGATCTAGTTCCTATCGGACTAGTCCCTTTTTGGCGATAAAGACCTAGTACGGAACTAGAAATTTGATTCACTAGTCCGCGGTTTCCCTGCAGGGAACAGACGGACAGACAGACAGACAGACAGACGGACATGGCTAAATCGACTCAGCTCGACATTCTGATCATTTAAGTATACATTTTAATGGGTCTATCTCTTCTTGTTCTGGTACTTACAAACATCGGACCAAAGTTATAATACCATTTCATGCTCATGAAAGGTATAAAAATAGTTTATATCTCCCTTAATTTATGGTAAATTGAAAATCTTTTTAACTGTTTTATATTTTTATTTGTTTACCCCGAACAACGCCGGATACTCTACATCAGTGCTGTCCAACCGGTTGTTCGCGGGCGCCTAGTAGCTCGCGACCTGTATTTTAGGTGTCCCAAACAAAAAGATGCACAGAAGAATACTCTGTACCGAACTATGCCATTTCCGGTTGTAATTGCGAAAGTGTCAATTGAAAATGAGAATCGTCAATTTTAAATGCGAAAGTGAATTTAAAAGCGTCAATTGAAAATGATAAAGCTGCAAATCAAAAATATGTATAATAGCCAACTGTAAATAAGGTAAGATAAAAAAAAGATTTCCAAAGATATTAAAGAAGAAATTCCCAATGACCATGTAGATAAGGCTCTCCGACTTGGCATTTTTAAATTATAATTTTAATATAATTGAAACACAGCTTCTCATAAAAATACAAACGTCGTTCGGAGTCGGCGTAAAACTGTACGTCCCTCCCCTTTGTGTGAAAGATTCAAGGCGCACGCCATAAACCGGAGGAGAAGCTCAGCCAAACACTAAGCGCCAATTTATTATTATTATTTGAAAAAACTAAATAATCTCAATTATGGTTTTCAGAAATTATGACTGCAATCTCAGCGTTTGTGGGGAAAGGGGCTGTTGGCGGGGAAAAACTGCCGGCTTTTCCTGTCGTTTGCTCTTCTTTTGAACACGAAAATTCTGGCGGGGTACAATCCATTGCATTACTTGGAAAAAGTTCTTCAGTTACTATCGAAATACGAAAAACGGTGCAGGAATACAAATGCAAAGATCCGTAACTAATAGGTGGTTTTTGCGTCAAACGATGTGGGGAATTTTAATTTGATGAAATGCATCATAATGAATCAAAATTTTGAGTTATTTGTTAGTTACGCCCTTTTGTATTTCAGTTAATAATGTTAGTTACAGATTTTTGCATTTTAGGTGACGAAATGTTCTCTATGGAACCAGTATTTTCTTTTTCCAAAAAATTGATTTATGGATCGTAATGGAAACACTGCTTTATCAATTAAGAGGAAATTGTGGTTTTCACAATACAATGAATGTTCGTTATCTATGTGCATTCCTTTATTTTAGCTACCTGTATAAATTTTATTAATAAATACAGGGTTTCATAGGGATCAATTACACTGTGAGACAAATGGTATGGGTCAGTGATCGGGAAGGGTTCAAATTACCGGGGAAAGTTATATCGGAATTGTAATTTTTAATTTTTTTTAATTTGTTTGAGCAAAATCGGACTAGTGGTTCTCGAGTTATGTCAAAAAAAAGACCACCAAAGGTGACAATTTCCCTTATATGATAGATACTAACTTCAAATCGATACATCTCGATTCCTAGACGTGACCCAGTGAAACGCCGGGCCACGTATAACTTGTTTTTGACCGATATAACATTTCCCGTTGGTTTCATCCCATCCCGATTTTGACTGTCGCATAGTGTTATGATTGAAGTTTATTAAGGCGGTGCCCACAAAGCAAAGCAGCGCAAAATTTTTAAGGCGCAGGATTTAACCTTTCCACCGAAGTCAATAGTGTTAACATTACAAACCTTTTAAAAGAGACTAGCCATACAAAATTGGAATTATTATAAAATAGTCTCAGATTAAACCGATAACTTTTTGGTGTCCAACCTAGTTTTACTGATTATACCTGCGAAAAAGAGGAGCAATGTCAAAAGTAAAAGTAAGCAAAAATTGACGCTAGCAAGGAAAAGAGGTTTGTAACGGGTAGTTTTGGAGTGCAATGGGGTA